CATTGACAGCAGGAAGGCTGTATCCACAAAGTTCTGGATGCCATCACCCATACGTCTACTATCTTATAGTCTGTGAAACCCAGGAAGGCAAGAATTACACCTGCATCCCCTGAGCCCAGTGTGCTGATCATGTGGTGACAGATTTTGTTGAATGAAAGAATAGTTTATCCACAATGCCCTGGCTGGTCCTTGAAACGTAATCCCAGATAATTAGAAACTGAAAGCAGGCTCTCTCTTTAAAATTAGGGAATTCTCAGCTGTCAGCATGTTAACACCTCTTAGCCACCTCTCCACAAAGGGGGAGGGTCTGTCTGTCTTTCTGTCTTGCCCAGAACAGTGAGTCAAAATTCTCTCCTAATGCCATGGGAGTCAGGAAGCAGAACAAAAATTCTTTCAATGCTGAGACTATTCATTTGGTTTATGGTCTTCTGAATTTGTGTATAAACTGTCTAATTTTTCTTAAAGAAATGTTTCCTTTGGAATCACATTCTCAGCCTTCTTCTTACTCTGAGAGAATAAGAAGTGTAGCCAAAAAAGGTTTTCTTAAAATGGGTTAGAAGACTCTTTCAGACAGTCACAGGTAAAGACGTTCTGGAAATGCGCCCCAGAGAATGGCTTCTTGTCCCCTCCACACTGTTGCCTTCTCTGTGGTGGTAATATTGTGTTTGTTAATGATGCTATTGCTTTTGTCTGGTGGGTAAGTTAACTTTCTTCTTAATTTGGCAATATAAATGTTGCCTTGCTTACATACCCCACACCTTCCCAACTTTTTTTTTTTTAAATGAAGACCCCTACTTCAAACCAAGAGTTAAAACTCTGGATGTCAACATAGAGCTTGCTCTATGTAAGGCCTGGTTTCCTCACGTAGAACAGTAATGTTTTTCACACCTAGTACAAGTGTTTTGTGTTTTGCTCAGGATGTTTTTGTGTGTTCATTTATTTGTTCATTCATCACATGCTCAGGGAGAGCCCATTTTATACCGGATACTGTTTTAGTGGTGAAAAAGACAAGCATGCTTCTATTCTCATGGAGCATATATTCCAGGGGAAAGATTTAGGACAAACAGAAAAACAGACTGTGCAGTGGATGGGTGGAATTCAAACAGAAGTGATGCAGTAGAACATGATTCAGTGGCTAGTTTAGGTTCATCACAAAATGCTAGAGAGAGTGGAAAGCAGGGAGGCAGGGTGTGTGTGTGTGTGTGTGTGTGTGTGTGTGTGAGAGAGAGAGAGAGAGAGAGAGAGAGAGAGAGAGAGAGAGAGAGACACACACACACACAGAGAGAGAGAGAGAGAGAGAGAGAGAGAGAGAGAGAGAGAGAGAGAGAGAGAGAGAGAGAGAGAGAGAGAGAGCGCATACAGGGAGGGAATGAGAAGGAATTGACAAAGGAAGTAGCTAGAACCAAGGACCATGAGGCAGGACCTGGCTTGCTGTGTCTGAGGAAAGCCGGTACAGCTGTGGACTGGAGAGTAGCTGTGAGTTTGCGAGTTAGTGAGTTTGCGAGGTTGGAGTTGGCATGGAGTTTAAATGCAGTGGGTAGTGTTTTAAGCAAGAAGCCTTACCATCTGAAATGCTTTGTAAAAGATTGCTCTGGCTGTTGCGCGGAGAATGAATGGCAAAGGGGCTGAGTATGGAATCGGAAAGGCCGTGAGGAAGCAGCTGTAGTCACTTAAAGCCCCTGACAGTGATGGCTAATGGTGAGGAGTGGAGCCGCGGAGAAGGGGTCAAGTGCAAAGCCCTCCGTGCATGGGCAGCACCTGGTGAGCTCTGTGTACAGTCATGATTATCACTGGCTTGGACAAATGCAACTAAGCTAAGTAATAGGTCAGCATAACAGTGGTTCTCTGAACATGATGGAGTTTAGGGCGAATTAGGCAGGATGAGCCAAGTGGTGTTTGCACCCGGAGAGTGAATTACTGTTATTTTTCAGCACTGTCACGGTGGACACAGTGTTTTCAGTGCTGTTCTCTGTTACGTTTTGAAAGGAAATTTGTCACTTACTCCTTTCAAGACACGGTGTTTTGTTGTCTTGTCGTGAAAGAATTCTGATTACCTCCCCATGACAGATGTGAAAGAGTGCGTTCTAAGTTGTGTGGAAGACCTAATATACTGTCGTGTTCTGGAATTTATTATGAACAAGGAGTGGGGAAAAATTAGGGAGTTAATATCCAGGAGGAAAACAAAACTTAAAAAAAAGGACACAGATAGATTAATATATTTATAGATACATGCCATACAGCCTGCTATCAGAGGAGCCAAATGAAGAATTAACGTCCTGAAAGTTGACTCACAGTTACCAAACTCCTGAGCTCAGAGTCGGGCAAACATGAAGAGGAGTGGTACCACACATACATGGTTGTTCAGGAGTTACCGATGGGAGCAGGTCATGGTGGGGGGCGGGCCATGGGGGACAGGGGCTCTTTTCTTCCCCTTCGCAGAAGTGTCTTTAGCTCCATCCACACTTGGACAAGAGCACCTTTTTGCAGTCACTCTCATCAAGCTGGCTCATATTTACAAGCTGAAGTATTCCGAGACACAGAAGTCTGGAATGACAGACATACATCACTGCAACCCTTTAAGGTCATGCTGAGCTCTTCAAATGTTAGAATTCACTGGGGGTGAGGTTGGCTTTTCAGCTAAGTGGCCCCGTCACTTTAAAGCAATCCCTGTAATGAGCGAAAATGTAACAACACATACTGAGAAAACAGTAAGTTCTAAGTGATAGTAGTCTACTAGAGCAGAGGGAGTTTGTTTTCAAAACACGGACACCAATAATCTCCACGCACCACATCTTCTAGGCATACTGAAGCAATTATTCAGGTTTCTCGAGTATGCACGGTATAGTCATCATTTTGGCATTGCATTTTTTGCTGTTTTCAAAATTCCTATTTTCTTTATCCTTTTCCTTTTTTTCTAAAAAAATAAATTTAGATGATGTCGAAGGATGGTTTCTACTGCTGCAATGAAACACCATGACCAAAAGCAAGTTGGGGAGGAATGAGTTATTTAGCTTACCCTTCCATATCACTGTTTATCATCTAAGGAAATTAGGACAGAACTCAAGCAGGGCAGGAACCTGGAGGCAGGAACTGAGGCAGAGGCCATCGAGGGGTGCTGTTTACTGCTTTGCTGCCCATGACTTGCTCAGCCTGCTTTCTTATAGAACCCAGGGCCACCAGTCCAGGCATGGCCCCATCCACAATGGGCTGGGCCCTCCCCCATTGATCACTATTTGAGAAAATGCCCTACAAAGTTACCTACAGCCCAATCTTAATGGAAGCGTTTTCTCAACTAAAGCTTCCTCCTCTTCAGTGGCTCTAGCTTGTGTCAAGTTGACCTAAAACTCTCCATCACAGATGATGAACGTGGAAGCACTTGTCTCTAAGGACTGTAATAACCAGCTATGGCATTAGGATGCATCTTCTTTTCCCTTTATTTGTGCGGACAAACCTGGGGTCTGACTATATGCCAGACTGCTGCTTTATCACTGCCTTACATTTCAATCCTTTCGGTAAGGCATATTATCACTAAGTTGCCCAGGCTAACTTTGAATTCTCTCTATCATGCAGGCACACCTTCAGCTCACTATTCTCCCACCTCAGCCCACCTCCCCACCCCCAGTAGATAGATTATAAGGCATGTACCACTGTGCCCAGAAAGATGCATCTTTTAAATACGGAAAACAAATCATTTAAAATACAGGCAAAACCCAGCATTCCCCAAACCGTGTCCTGTGAATTACTAAGTATTCAAGCTGCTACTTGAAAGAATTTTCAGACATATGGTTGCTGTATGCCCTTCTCAGATCTGCTTACGGCTCATGTGAAACTATTCCGCCTCGTGGCCAGCCACATCTCATTACAGTGATACAAGAAAATTCATAGACGGAGCTACCCTCCAGCCCCCCAGGCTGTAGCTGGTACTGTCATCATCCTCTAAACTCTCTTTAAGATGTCTCTATCCTTCTCCAGCACCTTGGTGCTGGGGGCATCAGCCAGGGTTTACATCTGTGGGTCTGACTTTATGGCTACCCTGCTTTTGTTTGGCTGTTTGCTGAAATTCTCCATCAGCTTCTATTATCCTGAGTAGAAGTACCATGGAATCTCCCCACACAGGCACACTTGCTCGTTGTCCCCAAGAAGGATTATCACTCCAACTTCTCATGATGATCAGGAAAAAATGTCTCTTTCCTTAGGATTGTTGATCCTCAGGTGTGATGAATCTTGAGTAACCAGTTGGTAGTAGTGGCTTCCATTTCAGTGGGATTCTTTTCCACAGTTCCTGGTGGAAGGACAACCCATCCAGGAGTTAGGGCCTCTCACCCATACAACCTAAGGCTTCCAGGAATGTTCTACCCACAGCTTCACAGAGTACACATGGCCTAGGATAACTATAAATGTGACCCAACACAAAATTATGAACTTACTTAAAATGCTATGAGAGGTTTTTTTGGAGATTTTTTTTTGTAGCTTGCTTGTGCATCTTTTGAACATGAGCTTTGTAGATGACAAAGTCTTGTCAAATTATCAAAAGGTTGAGCACACCTGGTAGCTACAGGGATGGAAAGAAAAGAATGCTAAGTAGTAAGTAAGTGTCTGTGTGTGGTGGTAAGAGGAGTCCATTTCCTGCAGATCTCACCTCTGGACCTACTTGTTGCTGGGGTTGAATACCACACAGCAGCTGCCGGTTTTTGTCTGAGGAGTTTGTCTGCGAACGGCATCTCCATTGTGTGTTTAATGCCTCTCCATCATTCTATCAGAGCTACTCCTGGGAGAGGTGGCCTGTATAGGGCACGCAGTTCTCACTGTTGGACATCCTTCCACTGACACACACCCTTCGCTGTCAACGGTGCCCTTTCATCCAAGGCAATGCTGTGAAGCCGATCCAGAATTCTCAAAGTCTTCAGAGAGTGGGAGGCGGGGGAAGGCAAGCATGTAAAGAGCAGGTTTTATTTTTCACTAAGGTCCAATCTCTGTTTCTTCCAGAATGGAATGCCTCCAGAAACTGAGAGTGGCACTGACCTCTGTGACTCTGTTACTAAGGCGTGGGACCATTTCTAATTTATTATTTTTTGGTTTGGAAGCCAACTTCCAGGACTTGCTTTCATTCTTCCTACCATAATAACTCATGTTCATTTGGTTGTGAAGCCACTGTGAGGATCTTCTAGCTGGTAGGTAAATCTGTAGTAATTATCACTCTGGGTTGGGGAGAGCAGTCCTAGATGGAGCCATTGATCCATGAGACCTACTGTAAGGTTGACTTAACACTCCACTTGCTGTCTGCATTAGAGAGCCTTGCGTTACCATAATGAGGTGTCTTAGATAATTAACTTAAGGGAAAGTTAATTTACTTCACAGTTTGGAGGATCTAGGCTGTGACCAGGTATCCTATTACTTTGCAACTAATATGGCCAGAGTATATGGTGATGCTAAACCATTTACTTCGTGATCATGAAGAAGAAGAAGAAACAGGAAGAAGAAGATGAGAGCAGGCCCTATGACCCTCTTTGAGGACATGCCTCCCGTCTCATTAGTGGTGATTGAAATACAAAATGTCCTGAAAGTATGTTGAAGACTTGGTTTCACCTGGTGGCACCATTGAGAGATGATTGCATTTATGAGTCTAACAACTTCATCAATGGATTAATTCACTGAGATGTTTATACCAAATAGACTATCGAATGGGGCTTGGTGTGAGGAGGTAGGTCTCAGGGGCACATGCCTTTGGTGTACTTTTGTTCCTGGCCCCTTTATCTGCTTCCCAGAGGCCAGAGTTGAACAGCTCTGCTCTGTTCCTCCTCCCCACATGAGGTTCTGCCTTACCACACACCCATAGCATTGTAGTAAGCTGACCAAGGACCGAAGCCTCTGGAGGCTTGAGTCAAAATAGGTTCTTCCCCGCTTAGGGTATTTTGTCATAGTAGTGAGAAGGGAACTAACATGCCACCTGGCTAGCATTCAACAAGCCTAGCTTTAACAGGGACACTTATCCAAAACACAACCTCTTGAGCGCCAAGCACCCCAGCTTTAATGTCCTTCGGTGTCGGAGTCAGCTCCTGTAGGCATCTCCCTCAGAGGACGCAGTTTGGGTGTTTTACTTTTCCTAGTGTGGAGTTGCTTACCGAAGGACCTGTGGGTGGGTTCCTTTGGGGAAGACCTGAACCGTATTTATTATGCACACTAGTCATGGTCCTTCAGGATCGTCCTCAAGGGAGAACTTGACTAACCTTTAACTCATGGACTCTGGGTCATAGGAATGATTCCTGACTGACACTTGAATAAATACATTGATTTTACACTTTAACAGCTAACAAGAGGTTCTCTTTGCCTGGTTTGGATGTGTTCCTTGTTGTACAAGCCAAGCATCACTTTAGTCAGCCTGCATCTAGGAATACACAGTCTACCAGCTGTTACCTTATGTTGCTGTGGGTTAATCATCCTAGTTGCACTGTGCTCCTCTTCCTGTATGACATCTATCTTGTCTTTGGTCACTATGCTGCTACCTGACATACATCTGTCCTCCAACATCATGTAACCCTTATTAACCACACATTCTAGTTCAACAGAAAGATCCTTTACCATCACTACTGACTCGTGTGACCTGCAGAGGACAGCCACCACCAAGCCCCACAGCTCGGTATCTGCACCCTCTTCCTACCAGCACTGGAGAGTATTTATGTGGGGACCTGGACTCTGTTGCCTTCATGCTCCCTCCTACATCTCCAAATCATAAAAACACGTTTACAATTATATTGGCATAAAAGTGAATGTGACCATTGACTCTAAATGTTCATTTCTTTTTCTTTCTCATTAATTTAGAAGGAATTAAAATGCTGTTCACAGACTACTAAAGCATTGTACCTACTCTGCCCTGCTGTGGATATCATTCTATATAAATAAAACACTGATGGCCAGTGACCAGGCAGGAAGTAGGTGGCCAGGCAGGAAGTAGGTGGGATAAGGAGAGAGGAGAATTCTGGGAAGCGGAAGGCTGGGGGAGACACACTGCAGCCACCGCCAGGACAAGCAGCATGTGAAGACGCTGGTAAGCCACCAGCCACGTGGCAAGGTATAGATTTATAGAAATGGGTTAATTTAAGATATAAGAACAGTTAGCAAGAAGCCTGCCACGGCCATACAGTTTATAAGTAATATAAGCGTCTGCGTGATTATTTTATAAGTGGATTGTGGGACTGCGGGGCTTGGGGAACCTGGAGAGAAGCCCTCCAGCAACACTGCCCAAAGGATAGGTCAGTGTTGTTCTAGTGTTCTCTTTATAGACCACATGATAGGAACGTTCTGTGGATCTTCCTGGTAAATAGAGTCTGATCTATCCAACCCATCTACTATAATCTCCTTACTCTCGTCCCCTTGAACCTTGTGGTGTTTTCTTCAAAACTCCACAAAAGGCAATTTTGTCTCCATTTAGTTGGAGCACACTCTGTCTAAGCTTAATGGCACATCAAGACCCATGGACTATTCACAGGATGCTCTCCAACTGGTTCCAAAGTCACACCTCTCTCCTGCTTCCATGCCCACTTCTAACAGGCTTCAGATCCTCTCCTGCACATGGTCCCTGCTCTGGTCCCTGCTCTAGGTGGTCCTACAGTCCTCTTGCTGAGTACACTCCTTTTCTCAGAGCACAGCCCAATTTCTTGGCTGGGGCTGTGTGACCATTATTGGTTCAGAAGCAAGAAGGGGGAGGCAGGGACTCAGGGAGGCACAAGCACAGCTTGCCAAGCCTCTGTCTCAAGACACATTCCATCACGGGAGTGTGATGGTTAATTCTGGTTGTCAACTTGATTTGATTAAGAAATGCCCATAGCAGTTGGTGAGGTGCACATTTGGGTGTGTCTTTGCGAGTGTCCCAAACAGGATTACCTGAGGAAGACCCATCCTGAATGGATAGGATCCAGGAATGGATCAAAAGAGGGCTAAGGGGAAAAGGTAGCTGAGCACTCGTTTTCATCTCTCTCTGCTCTGACTATGGATGCAATGTGACCACCAGGTCACACTCCCACCTCCATGCCTTCCCTGCTATGAGTACTGTGCCCCTTCAAACTGTAAGACAAAGCACCCCCTCCTTTTCTTAAGTTATTTTCTTACAACCACAGGAAAAGTAGCTACTTTGTGGTCTTAATGAGTTGTTTTCAATTTCCATTTTTTTTAAAAAAAAAATTTCAAATGGTATTGGAAACCACAGTCAAAGTTACTATTTATTTGCTAAGTTAAGAAAGTTGTTTCTTCTGTTGTGAGCTGAAAACATGTTCGTCTATATTCATAAGTCTACAAAAGATTGTTTCCCGGGTAGGAGGCAGTTGTTGATGTTTACTTACTGCCCATATAAGTTGGAAAGTACCTGGGAAAGAGACGAGTCAGACTGTGGTTGAGATCACCGCGAGGCAATCAAAATGCTTGCCCTAAAGAGTAGAATTTATGGAGAAAGGGGAACAGGTGTCTGATCCCATGTTTGCCATTTTGTAATTCTAAATGTTCTTATTTGAATGTTTTCTGCTTAATTGATTAGCTTTATTGTTTCATGACTATTATTATGACTGATAAGCTTTTGAAGTTTGTATAGAAATGGTTTATAAGACACAACTGTTATTTTCTTCTTTTTTTTTCACTTCGATTTTGTGGTGCTGGGACTTGAACTCAAGGCTTACATAGGCTAGACAGGAGCTCTTCCATTGAGCTGTCCTATTGGTCAAGTGAATAGTGTGTTTCTGCCCTTCACCACTTGGACTGCAAGGATGAGACAAGTGCGTGTGTATGGTTTTGTGTTCCTGAGGATGGCTGCTTTAGCATCAAGTCATCCTAGGACACCGAAGATCTGATGAGCATTCTACAAAGAATTTGTTTTGTTGTTGCCTTGTGGAACTAATTAAACACAAGGATGGACAAATAAGTCAAACCAGGATGCTCCTCTAATTCATCCAAGAAACCTCAAGAGAATAAAAGCTGTCTCTATTGATATCTTAATTGCTATGAATCATTCTGGCTCTCCTAGATCTCAATAAATAATAACCTGTGAATAGTACACACTTTTGAAATGTATTACTTCTAGTGACCCAGAATTTATTATTTTTCTATTGGGAAAGGAGCTCACACTCCCATATTTCACATACTCCTAGATGTAGATCCATTCTGTAGGTGTAAAAACAATAAGAAATGCTGATATTAAGCATCCAGGGTTCACTCTGTTCAATTCAAAATGTCCTTTATATTCTTTTACAGAGATTGACTATGGTGGGATGCATGAATGCATTTTCTCTTCCAAATGGGAAGAGAAAATGGGACCAATGCAAAGATACAAAAGGTCATTTGTGTAGTTCCTTCGTCCATTTATCTTTTGGGGATTGTGTGGGTGAAAATTGTTCTCTAAGTCAGGAAGTTCCAGATATTGGTATGGCTATGTAGAAAACTGTAACTTAGAAATGGGCCTACATTTATACAAGTTCCAGGTGTCAGTGTGATTATATTGAAGTTTTTAACACAGAATCTGGCCTACATTTATTAAGATGCAACAGTTACATTTCTTTTGGGCAATTTGCCTCAAACTGGTTATTTAACTTCACTGTGCCCTTGTTTCCTCATATATAAAACGGATAAAATAGTAGAAACACTGTTTATAGAATGATCGTAGGAAAGATATGAACTGCTATCTGTAAGTTAGAACACTACCATCCTTAGGGGTATTGTGTTATCTTCCTCCATAATCTTCATGGTTACCATTGTCATTAGCTTTACCAATATGTACAAGATGTGCTCCCTCCTGGGTAGGAGAGGAAGTTGGGCTTAACTACAAGTCCAATAATTTGTGTTCCACAACCTTATTTCTGGAGAAGTAAAGGCATTCAATAATTGTTAGAATTCTCCACTAACTACCCTCAATACTTTTCCTCATAGTATTCTTGGAGAAAAGTGTCATGTGCTGAATTACATCTCCCCAAAAGATGCTCCTAGGTCCTAACCACCCATCCCTCAGAATGTGATCTCATTCGGGAATAGCCCTGTCATTGAGGTGATTATTAAAATGACATCATATTGGAATAGGGGCTTCCTGATCCAGTATGACTAAGTGCTTACAGAGAGGGTGAGACTTGAGCATAGGGTTGTACAAAGACAATGTTGGATTGAAGACACAAGGAGAAATCAGTCATGTGGGGATGTGGATCTACATGTTCACACCACTGATGTCCAGGGTCACTGGCCAACGCCAGAGCTAAAGAAGCATGGAAGGTGCCTTTCTGTGGGTTTCAAGAACATAGCCCTTGCCCTGTCCTGATTTCAGACTTCTAAACTGCACAGCAATAAATCCTTCTTGTAAGATGCTCAGTTTGTGGTTGCAGTAGCCATAGGCAACTGGTACAGGAGCAGGTGGAAAGATACTCCTGGGGGTGGTTTCTGACTCAACCAGCTCTCTCTCTGAATCTTGAGATGAAGTTGAAATGCTGAAAAACTGACACATGGTGTCTTACGGTTTTGATCACCAATCACATTTTTCCCTCTCCTTTGATGTACCTCTAGGATCTTCATTCTGTGGAAAGACGTTCCCAACCATCGTTAAAGTTGTAATTTTATGGACACACACTTTTCCTCACAGATATTTGAACAAATCTCAGATCTTGCAGTTTTCTGCCCTTCTCTTCCCTTTTTCCTTCTCCCTCCCCCCTCCTCCCTTCCTCCCTCTCTTTCTATATCCTGTCTTCCTGCTTCCTCCCTGTCTTCTTTCTTGGAGGCAGAGTGGAAGGCACACAGGCACCATTATTTAGATGTTTCAGATCACAAGAACACCTTTTCCTGTGTTTATTTGGAGAGAAGATGGTGTGTCTGGTCATTTCTGCTGATTTTTCCTTCCTGATGCTTCTCCTCTCTCGCCTCACATTTGATACCATTTGACTATTTTCAGAGCAAAAACAGCCTCTCTCTGTGCTGTAGGCTCCAGCTAGATCCTGTCCTCCATATATTTATACAACTTAAAATTTCCTATTTCCAGAAACAGCCATTGGGCACATCCCACTTCCCAGAGCCCATCTAATCATCCTCTAAAGGCATGTTCAGATCTGGGTAGACAGCCCAAGCAAGGTTTATTTGTTTTCAGATACTTTCTCCCCATTGATGACCTGGAAATTCTTTCTAGAATTGCCAGTAAGTTCTGTTTTCATCTTAGACCAATGACCACACAGTCAAATAAAAAAAAAATTGCACAAATACCTAACCAGTGATGGGAAAACGATGCTAAGTTCATAAAACCATTCTTAACTCATTAGCTAATATTGTTTGGACTCATGTTTACAATGTCTCAAGCACGGTAGGATGATTAGGTTTTGTTCAAATCAGCAGCAGGCTCAGAGGGGGTAGTTTTCTTAAGTGTTTCAACAACACATTTTTTCAGACAATTTAGAGTAAGCATGGCAATTCTTCTCATTACTAAAAAAAAAAAAATGAGTGGCCATTCACCTCCCTCACTCTATGGTGGTATTTGACAATATTTACAAAGCATAAATACAACTTTAAAAATACAGAGTGTGCATGTTGAGAGGTCCCGACCAAGGGCATGAAGAAGCAGAGCGCGTGCTCAGCCTCCAGGAGCATCCTGCTCTGTATGTTTCTGAAGCAGCAGCTCTAGTTCTTTCGGTTCCTTGATTAAATCTTGATTAAAATCAGTGCAGCAGTTGTCGGATGGGAAGCGGTTCTCGCCCTCCTTGCTCTGTTGTAGGTGACATCCCTTGATTGCTTCAGACAGTTAAAGGTGCTTTGGTAGTAAAAGGACAGCAAGATTAATGGGCAGTCATTTCCATAGTAACAGCAAAGCACTCTGGGAAACGGAGCCACTTGGGAGTTGGAGTTACACATGCCAGGATTTCAGCTCCCATGGCAACAGCAGAGTGTGGGGTGGAGATGAGCACACTTTGAAACTTAGCGAAGGTCCGCTCACTGAAGACAATGTATAATCAGAGTTGTCAATCTATTTTAAAACTTGAAGTTAAAATAAATCAAATTTGAGGCCACACGCTGATGCAAAACATTTAAAATACACTGTACATCCAACTGAAAATTTCTGAAGCATAAGCACAAATAGTTTAAGAACTATCCAATTGTGACAACTTGTTAGTTTAAAAAAAATCCAATTACCCAGATTTTTGTCCCAGAGTAGTTGCAGAAAATTACACAATTAGAGCGATTTTTTTCTCAGCTGCTCCACTATAGAAAACGAAAATAATTATACAGAAATAGTGCAAAGTGCTGTTCACAACTGCAAGTTTCAGTTTTGCTTTCTTTAGAAGAAATTCTGTTTTTCTTCTAGATAATCATCTCAACAAAAAGTTGGAGAGAGCCAGCAGGAGAGAGAGAGAGACAGACAGAGAGAGAGAGACAGAGAGAGAGAGAGAGAGAGAGACAGAGAGAGACAGAGAGAGAACAGCTAAAAGAAGAATCAGGAACAAAGCAAAAGGTAAGAGGAATACTAAATGACTCATGAGAAACCAAAAAGAATCCAAAAAAAGCTAAGAACTCAGAATCTCAATTGCAGTAGTAGGAGAAGGCTGGCACAAAAAGGATCCCCTGGTGATATTAACACCGGAATCCATGTTTTTGAAGGTCTCCTTTACCATGCATAAAATCAGAACCCACTTGGGAAGTCAGTACCTGCTTAGCACAAGACATTCTTTTCCCTTTAGAGAGATTGATCAGGTCCACACAGATATCAAACAGAAGTTTGGGGATTATCTGGTGATAGCTTGTAGGTAGTGGTTAATTGTAACAGAACCTATTATAGCAAATCTGTATGTGTAGATCCACACTTTATTGAGAATGTTTTTGCCAGAAGAATTTACTGAGATGTCATTGTATGTGCACAAGGAATAGGGTAAATAGATAATAGTGGTCCGGTCCAGTTCCTCTTCTGGTTGCCCATTATACCCAGGAGGCTGTGGATGCCAAAATGTCCTTTAGGCATGTGGAGACTCTGGTCAGTTTTCTCAGAGAAGAGTAAAGTCTGTGAAGGTTCAGCTCAACATCTACATTGAAAATAAGACTTCTTACAAGAAGTATTTATGGAGTTCTCCAAATGTGCACCAGAAGACATTAAGGTATGATCCTTTTTGCCATCAACCTAGCCAGCATTATTGTGTCATGACCAATTTTCTGCCTTTAGCAGATTGATCCATGAGTAGGTACCTTTGGGCTTGGCTAGTCAAAGTCATTATCCAGGATTCTGGAATTTGGGGTTCTGTGAGCTGATCTGGTTCGTCACCTGACTAAAGCTGTCAATTTAAAAGCTTCGAAGTTGTTAGTGGCCATGACTTTTGGCCCAAGGATAAACTTTCCAGAGAAAAGAATAAAGGCACAGAGAGAAGCAGACAGGAGATGCAGGCCCGATGTAGGTAATGCTTAGTCCCTGCTCCCGCTGTGTCTGAAGCCTGCGTCCTGTGACTTGGGTGTGCCTTTCCAGGAAGCTCTCATCCACAGCTTTTTCTTGTTTGTTTGTTCAGACACTCGAGCTCAAGCTCCACATTCCTCTTGCAGCTAGGTGTTACAATTCATGTAGCAGCCATTTCTCACAGTCTCTAAAAAAGAGGCAAAAGGAAGAAAGCGGAGCGATGGCTGGGCGAACGGCGTGGGGGAAAGCAGAGGCAGAGGAATCATGGCAGTGCCGCCGTGCGGCTTTCCTTCCATCCAGAGGTTTGTGAGGAAAGGAAAGGAGGGCTGAGGAACCACCGCAACCTGGAGGTCATCAGAGGTATCCCCTGCAGCCGCATCAAAAATCAGACCAGAGCTCAGCAACTTCCCTAACTACCTGCAGAGGATGATGGGATCCGAATCCAGGTGAGTTGTTCACTGTTGCCTGTTGCGTGGCATGGCAAGCCTGGCTCTTTCAGATTGCATGCAATTTAGACACCCACAGGCGGATAATAATTGCTGGAGAGAGGGAGGGAGGAACAGAGAGAGAGAGAGAGAGAGAGAGAGAGACAGAGACAGAGAGAGAGAGACAGAGAGAGAGACAGAGAGAGAGAGACAGAGACAGAGACACAGAGAGAGACAGAGAGAGAGACAGAGAAACAGAGACACACAAAGAGAAACACACACAGAGACGGAGAAACAGAGATGAGAGAGACAAGGGTAGGGTTGATGAAAGAGATGCTGATTCAAGATAATTCCCTTGATCCAAAGAACTTGAGTTCCCAGATGCTCCAGAGAACAGATGAAAATAGACCCTCATCAAGACATATTACTGGGAAACTGAGGGTGAGGAGAGATTCTTAGCTCCGTGCGGGAGGGAGAGAAGTGGGTCACGTACAGAGAACCAGTAATCAGAATTTCTTCCGATGTCGCAGTAACAACTCTGCTGGGATAATGCCTTCAGTGTTATTTCCAATCCAGAATTCTATCTCCAAAGCAGTTGCCAATCAAACAGAAATGGGGAAATGTATTTTCGGCAGGCCTTGTCTTGGCAGCGACACTTTCATGCATATTTCCTAAGGGAACAATTGAGAGGAAGGTGTTCCACTAATAGAGAGTGAAACTGAGACAGAAGAACACAGAGGTGGGGTGGGGGGACAGCAAGAAGGTGATGGCTTTGCAGGAATGAAGGGTGCGGGGTCTCAGGATGGCAGCTGGCCCAGGTTTAGGGGGCCGCTAGTCCACACTGAACTTGAAAAACTTGTGAGTTTGGTCCTGTGTCCATCACCACACATCCCCAGACAGAAAAGACAGGCTCAGTGAGAGGTAGTGGGACTGCATTCATTATCTATTACTGTGTAAACAATTCCCCAAAGTGTGTGCCTGAAACCAGCATGAATGTGTCGGCTTACCGTTTCCATCGGACATCAGTCAGGAGTTCAGGCAGAACTTGGCTGGAGCCTCTGCTCAAGGTCTCCCACGGCTGTACGCCAGGTTTCAGTCACGGCTGTGCTCCAAAGTTCAGGGCCCTAAGGTGCTGTTGGTAGTCTGTATGACAATGTGCCCAGGCAGGTAAACCAACCCTCGCTATAGCCAAGGGTAGTCACGGCTTGCTCACCATGTAGCAAGGATCATTAGGAAAGACTTCTTTTAAGCTATTTAAGGTGAGCTAGCTAACCACTTCCCTTTCCAACTGTCCCGCTTTCTCTTACAGCGAACATGGATATGATGATAGGAGCAGGAAAGGCCATCTCCACAGCATGAGGAACAGGTCAAGATAGTAACAGAGACCTTGTACCTATGTGCCAAACTGCCTACTGTTAGCTCCCAGACTTCTCAGTACAGGAGAAATGGAAACCCCACATTCTGAAGCCACCCTGGCTGTGTCTTTTCTCTTGGTAACTGAATGCAATTCATGCACTGCCGAGGCACAGCATGACCAGAGGTGAGCGGTGTGGTTGATTATTGCGTTCATCAGATCTTTCCCTGATTTCTGGTTTCTATGGGAGAAAAGGAAATGAAAGTGTGACACTAGCGACCTCAAGATAAGAAGAGAAAACACGGAGTCAAGGTGGGAAGGAGAAAGAGGGACCAGGCATTAAACACAGTGGGTGAATTCTGCCCATCTCAGCTTCCCTTCCAACACGCAGATCAAGACAGAACAGTATTTGAATAGAAAAAGGCAAGATAAACATGAATACACATGAGTAAACATGAATATGAACACACAGCCTCAAGCAACCAAAAAATAGCCACGCAAGCATACATTAAAGGAATTTAAGAGTAAGTGTGCTGGGTAAAATGAATTAATTCCTCCGTATCTTTTAAGATGCTTCTGTCAACCCTAAGTAACCTCATTAGTCAGTAACAGCCTCCCCCTGCCTTTGTCTTTTATCCTCTGTCTTCCAGTTTGGTTATCCTTATGATCAGAGCATTACCAAATGGGCGACTTCAGAGGGTTTGGCCAGAATCCTCATATTTGGGGGTTTCTCCCTTCATTTGACCTAGAGTCCCCTGGCCACTTCTATTATTACCACCCACCCTGCCAAACCCCTGTATTAAGTACTCCCGAGGTAACCAAATACCTGATAGAAACACCCTAGGGAGGGAAGATTAGTTGTGGCTTATAGCTTCGGAGAGTTTTGGTGTGGCATGATAGACAAGATACGGGGGGGCTCCTGGAGGGAGTGTGTGGGGAGACCCCTCACATCACGGGAGTGCAAGAAGCAGACAGATCTGGGCAGAGTTCAGTAAGCTGCTTCCTCCAACCATGCCTCTTCTCCAAAGGGCTCTGTGGCATCCCTAATGTAGCACCACCAGCTAGGGGACAAGCATTCGGAACGTGAGTCTTTGTGGACACTGCAGATTCAAATGGTAACATGCCCTTAAGAGTAAGCTTTTCAAGTCATTCTCCTGACACGCATGTCTATTTCTCCTGCTGGCATATGTCATCACGCTTGGGTTTTGATGCTGTGGTGGTGTGAATGAAGAGGCCCCCACAGGCTCACAGGGAGTGGCACTATTAGGAGGTGTGGCCTTGTAGGAGTAGGAGTGGCCTTGTTGTAGGATGTGCGTCACTGGGGATGAGCTTTGAGGTTTCAAATGCTCAAGCCAGTCCCAGTATCTCTCTCTCTCTCCTTTCTGCTGCCTGCCGATCCAGACGTAGAACTCTCAGCTACCTCTCTAGCACCATGTCTGTCTGTCTGTCTGCTGCTGTGCTTCCCGCCATGGTGATAGTGGACTAAGCCTCTGCAAAGTAAGCCAGCCCCAATTAAATGCTTTCCTTTATAAGAGTTGCCATGGTCATGGTGTCTCTTCACAGCAATAGAACTAATTAGCATATGAAAGACATGCAGCATATCATTAGAAGGAAAAAGGTGTTTGACATAATTACAACTTTCAACTGAGACTACCACACATTTATGATGAGTACTAAAACAAAAACTAAGACAGATGCCAATTCCAAATCTGGTTCTAGCTCTTTTCCAAGAGTCAGACCATGGGCACACACCAACCCATGTACACAGGCCACTCCTTTCATGCTCGTTGCAAGCTAAAAACAGCAGAATTTTTTTTACTGTGACTACAAGGAAGTCTATTCCCAAAAGGAACGTCTGTTCACATCTGTACAGTACAGGTCAGCACTCTAATGGACAAAGTGCTGACCTATAGATTATCCATTTAATGGACAAAAGCAAATTTTCAGTTGGTTAGTTTTATTCAAAATACATTAGTGTGTACATGTACCTGCTTTGTCAAGTCTGTTTCCATGTGTGAAACACCTGAGCTTTATGCTAAGCATATATGGCGTTATTAGCTACTGCCCAATGGGCTTCCACTCCGTACCAGATTACCCCTCCAACATCAGTGTGGGAAGGTTATGACTCAGTGGTTCTCAACCTTCCTAATGCTATAACCCCTTAATACAGTTCCTCATGCTGTCATGAGCCCCCAACCATAAAATTATTTTTGTTGCTACTTCACAACTGTAATACTGCTACTGTTATGAATTGTAATGTAAATATCTGTGTTTTCCAATGGTCTTAGGCAATTCCTGTGGAAGGGTCTTTTGACCCCCCATGTGGGGTCATGACCCACACGTTGAGAACCACTGTTCTAACTGCTCAACAGCCTCACCAATAATTGGGACTGTCACCGAGGTTCATGTTGACTTGTTTGTTTGTGTGTTGGCTGGGCTTGCAGACTTTGTTTTAGTACTCATCATAAATGTGTGGTAGTCTCAGTTGAAAGTTGTAATTATGTCAAACACCTTTTTTCTTCTAATGATACGCTGCATGTCTTTCATATGCTAATTAGTTATTAAGACTCGCCTGTCCCTGGTACTACTGGGTTGTCTGCTTTTCTGCTTCCATCTCAGAAGTTCTTTTTCGGTTCAAGAAATGACCTATTATCGTGTAGATGTAATACAGCTCTGTTCTATGGCTTTCCTTTTCCATGGTTTGATTTATGCACAGTGCTAGAGATCAAACCCAGAGCCTAATGCCTGCTGGGTAAATAATCTACACTGAACTTCAACCTCAGGCCCATTTTCATGTTGTTGTTCATCTTTGGAGTAGTATATTTGTGTTACTGTTTGTTGTTTATTTGTTTATTGAGATACCATCTCACTGTGTAGTTGAGCCTGGCCTTGAATGGGTGATCCTCCTGCCTCAGCCTTCCAGGAGCTGGGACCAGAGGCCTGCAGCACTGCTCACAGAAGCAATGCCATGTACTCCAGGACACTTTTTAATGAACAGACGCTCTTAGTTTCTCCATATTTTCAATTTTTTCTTTATCCTTGACATTTTCTTACATGTATACAATAAAAAGGATCATATTGATCCATTCCTCCCTACATACCTTTCTCCCCTTCCTAACTTCATAGTTTTCTTTTTAATACCCCACTACGTCCACGTATTGACATCCATATGTGCATGGGTGTAGGACCATGTGCTGGGGCACAGGAAACCTACCAGTAGCCATGCTCTCAATAAACAACGATTCTCTCTCTCCAGGGCCTATCACAGTACATACACAGTGGGTCCTGGAGAGTACCTCCCCATGAGTGCCAGGATTTGGGCTAGGAAGCTTTTAATTTTAATGAAATGTGATTTGTTAATTTTTTTTTCCTTCATGGTACTGAATTTTGCCCTAAAAAAAATCTTTACGTAATCTCTAAAACTCTGGAGAAATTCTGTTTGTTGTTTATTTCTTAATGTAAACCATTTAACAAAGTTTCTCAAAACCCTTTGAAGTCTGACTTAAATACACTCACACCATTGTATACTAAATTGTCTTGCTTCCCCTCCAACTGTTTTAGCTGTTACTCTCAAATCAATGAACTTCCTCAAATTTATTGATGTTTTGTTAGTGTGAGGGAAGGGAAGAATGGATATTGAATGAGCAATCAGTGGTCCCTGCCACCTGTATTTTCTTGTCTGTGTTTTACTTGGGATCAGGTTTAAGGTCAAATGAATGAATCTGTGGCTGTAGGGTGTTAGGCATTGCCAAGAGAGTAGGAAACTTTGTGAGTGGTACTTTCCCATTCTAAACAGGGTCGAAAAGTGTAGCTCAGGCTGGCCTTGAACTCATAACCCTCCTGCCTTAGCCTCCCCAGTGAGTGCTAGGGATTACTGGCCTGTACCACTAACAGCTGGTGAGTGATGCTTTTGTGGGAATCTTTCATTCTCACCACTTGTGTGGGGGTTTATGTCCTCCCAAGGCTGGCTTCTATAAAGGTGAAGTTGAAGATTTATGGATCCTGAAGTCTTTTATCATGGAGTAGGTGAGTACGCTGCTTTGACTCTGAGGTTGGGAGTCACCTAGAAAAGTCCTGTGGGGAGGAAAAAGAACGACTCTTTACAGCCATTTCTGCTTTACAGAGCCAAGCATGCCTCATCCCAGCAGCCCACTCTTAGCCAAGTTAGAATAAAAACTGTAGGAGAAAAATCCCATTATCAAAAGACACATTAAACTGGGTCTAAATCACTACCAGTGACCTTTCTATGGTTAGTTTCCAGAAGGCTGTGTTATGGCCCAGTTCCCAGGATCACAGGGATCTGAGCAGAAACTTTTCCCTCTCCAGGTACCTCTGGGTTCTCCAAGGAACATGCTGTATTCCCACAGTGAACTCTGTTACAGGTGGCAATGTAGATGGGCTGCAAATTCAGATCTTTAGGAGCTACAATTCCATGGAGTCTTTCTCTGGTACTTGAGACATCTCTGCCCATCATTTTGGATGACATCATCTGGATATCCCTGGAGCTGGAGTCTCTGTGTCTGTGAAAAGGATAGCACCCGCCTGGCCTCAAAGCTGGGAAATCTACTGTGCAATCTGCAAACTGAGCAGGAAGGTTCTTCCTGTGGGTTCTGCTTGGCTTCTTGAAACCCCCACTCCAACATGCAGGGATTTATAGAAGTCTATCAGCTCGCACACACAGCTCCTCTCCTCCACTGTGATTCTAAGCCTCCAGGCAGGTTTGGGTACGAGAGTCCCAGTGTCAGCCATCGTACTTACTAGAATGATCTTCACCATGGGCCACCAGAACCTACTGGCATTTCTATGGTCTCTTCTTCCCTCAATATAAATTCTTCCAAGAAGTTCATTTTCCTGGTTTCCACTGGAACAATTCAAACAAACATTTGTGTAACTCTGACCTGCATCGGTGAGATGGGGTCAAGTCTTTCATTCCATTCTGAGACAGAAATAGATATTCCTATAATATTTAAAACTTAAAAAAAATCTCCATAAAGTAGGCCATTTTGTTTCAGAACTAATTTTGATCATTTGAGCACCTATGAAAAAAACAGTGAGATTGAATGGTTTATAAACAACAGAAATGTATCTTTTCTAGTTATGGAGGTTGGGAAGACTCATATCAAGATGCCAGCAGATTGGGTGGATGGTGAAGACTCATTCTCTGCTACATAAAGGGCACCTCCTTGTCCTGTGCTCACGTGATGAAAGGAGTGAATGTGTTACCTCGTGCATCTTTTATAAGGCCAATGATTCCACTCATGAGTTCGGTCTCATTATCCCGTCACCCCTCAAAGGGACCACCTCTTAGTACCATCCCTGGGAGTTAGAATTCTAGTAGCTGAATTTTAGGAGGAGGTGCTACAAACATCAAGCCCATAGCATGCTATGCTTTTAGTGAGATTCAGCTTCTGCCTAATGAGTGTGAGGCATAAAACATGCACGGTTAGCAAGTCTAGATCCTGGAAAGAAATAGTTCATTTTGATTACTCCA